GGAGGGGATACGGAGGGGGGTAACTAACCAAGAACTACTACACCGAAGGTGGCATGACGTCATCTACTCAACCACTACTGTATAACTTGCCATATGTGACAACATTTCACATGGCATTTCAAGTTCCATCCTCTCAAATCTTGGGGGAACAACCCAACTTGTCCACTTCAAACTTGCGACAGGATCAAACCTCCGCAACATTGCCTGCCGGATCCTTCGAAACAAGATGTCTACATGTGATTACTGGCGGCTAACGTACCGTTCCCTTCGCTAGCAACCCAAAAGCAAGAACCACATCCTCACAACGCTTGATAAACGTACGCTTGTGACCACACGAAACACACATTCCAATGTTTTAGAAGCTATGAAGAACTACCTTAAACCTCATGCAACCGCTGGTGCGCTAGCTCCAGCACAAGCGCACATCATCAATCACCACCATCCTGGCACATGAAATCACTACGGTTCTTCCCGTCCCCTTGAGGCAGGCACTGTTGTGTTTCGCCTTGGCCTTGCCCTTGCCCTTCGCTTTGCCCTTGCCCTTCGCTTTGCCCTTGCCCTTCGCTTTGCCCTTGCCCTTGCCTCAGTCAGCAACCAATGGCACTGCGTGAAGGCTCTGTTGCAACGCTCTGGATCGTGTGGATCACACTGCAGAACTGAAGGATGGGGCATGGGGTGATCCTGGGCCACCCAAACCGTCCGGGGCTGCAGCTGTGTCGAAGAAAGGTGAGTCATGATAAGTAAGCATGGGTGTCATCAAAAATCAACACGAGCCATGCCCCCAATGGCTGTCCAACAGTTTGTTAAGTGACATCCTTTGGGCTTTTGGGATGTGTTTTTTGAGGCTATCCTTTTCAGCTGGGGTTAGAGTAAACCAAAAGGGAAAGAACCACTTCGAGCAATTTGGCACACAACTACGCTCAAAGAATTCGCATCGGGGAAACAGCACCTCAGGGCTGGACCCTTGGAACGCGCTCCTCGGGGCTCACAGACCTGTGCCGGGGCAACAGCTTTGGGATGGCGGTTGCAAGTTGGGTGACACGTTGAATGAGTTCCAACTGAGTTCCTTTCGGATGCCACGCGACTGTCCTTTGGTGCAAGCCGGAATCCGCTTATTCGAACCCGTTAGAGTAGATAAACCAACGATCACTGTGACAAGGTCGACCACTTGTTTCCGACTTGAAAAAGCTCGACCGTACGTGAGATGCAATTAAAGCCATGGATTTCCAAGAGAGTTGTGATTTGTATTCCATTTAAATGTGAACGGACAGAAGGCCCCCTTCCTGGAAACCTCCGCAAAGCTTGCGCGGTGTACAGGGTACCTTCCGCGAGCCTTCCGCGGGCAAGTTGCTGCTGGAAATTGAGGAAGGTAGCTTCCGCGAGGGACATCATGTGCACCATTTGCAAGTCATTCAGGAAAAAGCACATGTAACTCTCCAGCCTTCAGAAGTGGTAACTCGAAATGCAAGCCACTTTGGTGGGAGGAGCGTATCAAAAGTAAGCCAGCGGTCAATCTATGTGTGTCAGTGTTACCTCAAGGGACCTTCTCAGAATGGTGGGTGTGTTCAGTTTGAGGGTACCACTCAGTGGTTGCAAAGGGAAACTCAGAGGAAAAACGACAACCCCGTGTGGTTGCATGCTCTTTTTGTGAACACCAAAGGATCCTACTCGTGGACACTCCTCACCTGGGCTTTGCGTGCCACACCTGAAGGCTTCCAGGGCGCCAGCTGAAGGCTACCGTTGCAGAAACCGTGTGGGCTGATCCAAGACACCTCGCACGTCACCAGTAACTTTACACCAAGAAAGCATTTCTACTTAGGACACATGGGAGATCCTCATCTCCGGGTTGAAAGTTGCTTGCTTCGCACGAGGCTTCCTGCCGGCAGGCACTGTGGAAAAGGCCAGTTTCTGTGATATGATTCTATGATGTGCAGATTGGCCGGAATTGGGCACTGTGGTGCTACAGAAAGCGTGGTTTGCCATAACCATACACAACGCCGTCACCAGACGGTTGGCTTTAAGTGTTCCAGATTTTTCCTTTCAAACAGCACACACTCTACTTGTGCGGAGGGTCAGAGTTCAACTCCGGCCCAGAAGCCATCATCCTTGGCTGAAACACCTTTATGGGGAGAATCCTCAAGCCCACAGCGCACATGAGGGTGCCTGACGCAGGTTTTTGTTGGGATGTGGAACGCAGTCTAACCCCGAAAATGGGCTTCGGTTTCACTTTGGGGCTTTTGGACACACAAGCCCAGATAGGGTACGAGCTCAAACAAGGGGACACCCGTCTGGCGGCGTCACCCTCGAAACATTCGAGCCTTCTGATCCGTTTGCTCAGCGAGGCCCCGCAGCTGCGGAGGCACGTCCTCTCGATAAGAAACCCGCCGAGCGGCGCCGGCCACGTTTGGGTGCTAAACAGGGGGAAAAAGAAACGGATCCTTCGGTTCGGTTAAACAATGCCGAAACGTTCCAAATCGAACATAACCGGCGCTAGTTGGCA